CCCCCCCCCCCGAAGGCGGGTATACCACGAGATATTGCACAATTCACGACATATATGCACGAGCCGCAGTATATTGACAATTCGATAAAACTAGTAAAAAAAAGAGTTTACTTTCATCTACTAAAAGATCATGATTATGGCCCTTGAACATGAATACTTATAAGAATAGTATGTAGTTGTACGCTGAATGCATACAAAAAATACATGCGAAATAAAGTTCAAATTGAATACAAACTAGTTTTTATTCCGCGTGAAAAAGAAACGTACCCACAATGAATAGAGCAGCGTAAACACAACATTAGCATTACAAAAGATGACCTTTCTGACCTTTTACTGACTGCGTCAACGCGATTTGAGTTACAGGGTCGTGTACAGTTTGGATCATTGAAACAACGGATTTTCCACGTTTTCATTCCGCTTTTTGTACAATTTGGATTGTAATTTGCCCATTGAAAGTACAGTTGTGAAATAAACCGGTTTTGTGACTCATCATACTACTTTTAACTGTGGATATTTGACGTTCAGCGGCGGGACGCGGTGTATCATGTATCATCTGACCTGGATACCTTTGGTATAACCAAAGTTTTGTGACAGTATGACTGACAAGTTTTGTCGTTGTTCTGGGGTAAGTTTGATGGTGTAAGATCGGATTCTCGCATCGTTTTTGTGACACGTACATGATATGCCTTGTCTCAACTCCGGCCGAAAGAAAGACTTTGCACGCCGTCGCTCTAATGCAGTGGTTGGTGTACACTCGACACAAATCCGGAGCTTTCGAAATTACCTTCATCATCTCCTATAATTTATTCACTCATAGTGGAGAATTACAATATCATATATCGTCGTTGAATCCCCGGGATTGAATCCTGCGTTGTCCCGTGTTTTTTGAAACAGATGGCAATTACCCGGGTGCAATTTCACTGCAATTTGGTCAGCTAGAATTTGAACGCCGCTACGAGACACTGGTTGTTATTGGTTGCATCAGAGGTACATTACTTGGGGTTTGCAACTACGGTGACATGATACCAAGATCCCGTTACAATCTCGCTCTCACATAAGCGTTCCAACTCAGAAAAATGCGAATGCGCATGCCCTAGGTAACTAGGATACTGGGATGTCCAGATGGATCAAAATAGCTGCCCACTATATGACGGATTACGAGAACTATATTTTTGTACATGACATGATGTCACCATA